CAAAAGCTATGTAAAACAATTGTTAACGTCCCTAAAGGTGAGTAAAATGTTTTGAATACACTACATAGCATGTTAGATAATAAATGTCTTGACTGACATTTGTATTGCTATTGTTAAAAACAACTTGCTTTGTTAAATCTTTACTGAAAGGTCCTTGCTATTACAATGTAGAGAAGCTAGAGAATCGAACAATTAACATATACAGCAATGTCAAGAGTTTCCTCTAGAAGCCGAGTTTTATCTGAGATTAGCTATGTAATTAAATAGGACACCCCACAATGTAGATTAGCCGGCTGTATTTACATAATAAAAGGTCGTGCCCAGGAAATAACGTTCATCAAGGTTCCACTGCACTAATTTCTTGAGCAACATGTACAAAAGATGTCTAAAACTGTATTACACATACACGTTTTTTAAATAATTTTACATAACGGATAATGCTAAGCTAGCGCTAGCCGACCTGTTAGCATCAGTTAGCAAGGGGACATTAAGGACACACATATTTTAGAGGCGCAATAAAGTCATTTTGAGGCAGAGGATATCCAGTTTCATAACGCCGTGTTTGACAGTGTAACGCGGTTTATTCAATATGAACATGACAAGACAGTTAAAGGTATGGAAATGTCTTAAAAATCAGAAGCCTTGTTCGCTTACCTGGTGCCCTGGCCGCCATGTTTACCACTAAGCGTGACCGCGGTGTACTGTGGGTAAAAGGCGGCTCAGCGGATGACTTGTCCGGAACAACATGGAAGTATTGACCTCTTCTGTTTTTATTTATTTATTTTTTAAAATAAAGACGATAAAAGCACAATTTTATCTGAATCTTTAATATGGCAAACTGAAGTTGTTGTTTTTTAAATAATCACATACAGTTTTGATGTTAATTGTTGCAACCCCACATTTAATTTGGTTTAGGGTTAACCCTTTTTAACCAAGACGCTTCTGTTCCAAAAGAGTCTTGGAACAAATAAAAACCTTCCAATTATAGATTGGATAATCTACAATTGGGATGTATTATCATGTGAACCCAACATTAAAAATACTACATTTTAAAGTATCCAAAAACTATCCAAATATGTGTTTAAAGTAAACATTAAGCAGGTTTTTATGGCACCACTCATATTCAGGAGAAAAAAATTGAATTCAGAGGCCAGGCAGCATTAATACAGCTTACTTTCACAGTTAAGGGAAATTACAAGTTTTAAAGTTGAAATATGCAGTGAAACAGGACAACATGATGCATAAAATTTAACTGAACAAGAAACTGAACAGGTTAAACTATATCAATGTTACATTTTAACATTGTAGAACAAATTCTGTTTTATGTACATTCATTTACACATTTAAACCATTGAAAAAAAATTAAATTAAACTGAACATATATCAGTTATATTCTTTGCAAAGAATAGTTTTCACACAATGTTACCAAAATTGGATAATTTTTGGTAACATGTTTACAAACGTCTTACGGCTGTTCATCCACTGCATGTATCCAGTGTGGTTTTTGGATCACTTTTAATTTTGCATCATGAAGAATCAAAGAGTCTTTTGAAACAAATAAAAATCTTCCAATGTGGCCATTGCAAGATCTGTGCAAAAGTTCTCATCTGGCAGGGACGCCAAGCGGTCCAGTGAGATGTAGCTGGGCAGATCTGGGTCATACTGAGCTTTCCCAAGATACTCGAGAAACAAGTGGCGCTCTCTGAGACGCAAGAACTTTGAGTTGAAAACCTGAAAAAAACAATTATAAAATAAATAGTGTTATAAAATTACAGATCAGGCCAAAAATTAAGCAAAATTTAGTAAGAGATAAACAGAACAAATGGCCATGGTCACCTACCTGTGGAAACTTTGTGATGAGGTGATGGGGAACTTTCATGGTGTTGTGAACAAAGTCAAATATCTGGGTTAGCTTCTTTTTATTGGCTGTCAAAACCTTTGGGACAGCAATAACAATGTGCTGGATCTCATTTTGCTTAAAGCCAAACTCTATTTCGCACACCTGCAGAACACATTAGAAAAAAGGATTTTGTTTATTAACTAAATAAACTCAATCTATGATTTTTCTAGTATAAAGCTTTGACTGGATACCTTTAAGTTTTCTTTAACAGGCTCCAAGCTGCCACACAGTAATCTGGGGAGACGAGCAACAACATTTCGCGTCTGCAGACATATGTGAAATTAGTATTTACACTTACCATTAAGAAAAAAAGAAAAATCCCTGCCCATTTAAAAATAATCTCGTATGATCTTTCATGATTTTCATATACCTACGTTGGAAGCACTGAGTTTGAGCTGCTGCTGAAAAAAGCCCAGCCTGTTGTCCAGCCTCTTCACACTGAAGTTAAGAAGATATGGTGCTCTGGAGACCATAGATGCAACCGTTTCTGAACTGAACTTCCTCGACTTCAGATAGTTCACTCTTGATACAAAAGAGAAAACACGATCAATACAGACAATCTGGAAGAGGAAATGTCAACATGTGACTAATATTTATATTCATTTCTTAGTTCTCCATATTATGCAACGTTACAACAACCAACATTAATGCATTTTATTGGTACTTTCTGTGATAGAGCAACGTTAAAAAAACAAAACATAGATGGCTTTCAGATCTTTTGCAAAAATAGAATCAGAAAAGTGTGATATGTGTCTTCGTCAGGGCCCTCATTTCTCTGATAACCCTGAAGAAAATCCACTGCAACCAGAAGTAACCAAACTGGAAAATACTAACTACCTGTGAGTTATTTTTTCAATAGGGCTTAAGTTATAAAATGAGGTGCCAATTCTTGAAGATCTCATGGAGCATCAATTATATCTGAAAAATGGAACAAGTATTGAACAGATGGAAAGCAAACCTGGAAAGTAGGATCAGCCAAAAGCACAAGTTAACTCTACATTTCATATTTGACATAAGAAAATTGAAAACAATATTTTCTTGAAGTTTGTGACTGTATCATGAAAAAAGGTAAAAAAAAAAAAAAAATGAAGGAATGCGAATAATTTTGCATTGCACTTTATATTTTCATGTTACCTGGCCTGCAAGTTTTCCAAGTTCGCAGAGAGGATGAATGGGTTGCGCGAGATGATGTAGCCCAAGCGAGAGTCCTCCACTCCAATCTCTTTCAGAAACAATAGGCAAGGTGCTACATCTCTGTTGAAGTCAAGTCTAAGCAACATGGAGCCAACGTTGGGCCTTCGCTCCAGCTTCCACAAGCTGACCCCTGCAATGAGACAACTGAAAGAGTTAATAAGGTGCTTTTTACCTGGTTCTACCACTGTACTAAAAATCTTTGTGGTGAGTTTACCAAGCTGCACCAGCTTTGTAAGTGTCTCCGACTTGTCGACATAGTCTTGAAGAGAGACTGAGGTTGGAGGAATAAAAGAAGGAACAGAAATGCCAACAGCTTCCTCGTCACTGATTTCCTCCAACGCTGAAAACTTGTCATCAGCATCCAAATCTTCTTCATGAAGAAAACAAAAAGAGTCAAGAGGCAATTCAGTTCTTTCAGGATGAATATTTGGTCTCCAAGTCAATTACAAAGGTTAGATGCATACCAACAGAAATCTGATTTTGGGGCAGTGGTAAAGCATCTTCTGTTGGCACCAGAGCAGGCTTGTATTCAGGGACATCTGTTCTGGGCACGTCTTCTGTAGGCTTGTTTTCCTTCGCCTCAGTTGTCAGATATTTTGCTGTATAATTATAATAGCAGAATGTTTGCCGTTTCCAATTCAATCTTGGCTGAGCTGCTGTGTGATTTCCTCTGGATAAAAACCCGTTACTGATTCTGGTTGATTTGCCCGCAGTGGTACTATGTTCAACGTGAACATAGTGCAGATGAGTGCTGTTCTTCGGCAAAAGAAGACCTCTGCATCGCAGGCTCAACTTTGCACAGGCAGAAAACATGCTCATTCTGAAAAACATTAAAACACAGTGTGAAAAAAGAAAGCTCAGAACAATTAAAAAACATTCTATATAAAGCCAAGGAAAACAATATCAGCAAACAAGTGGTTAAGACCAACCTTATTTTTAAGCTATTTTAGTACGCACAAATCTTGTTTTGCCATCTTGACTGGTTAATCCTCTCTTGCAGGAGTACAAGTAGAGTTTTCAAGTTTTTTCTTTTTTTTTTTTAATACATTTTAAGATGCGTATAGAAGGGCGACCTTGATAATAGGCTTTCAGATGTCTTTACATCCAATGTATAGACCTTCCTATACCTGCAACCTGGAATTTTTAAGAATTACATTCAAAATCCTGATTACACTGATGGAACCCACAACAATTCTCCACTGACTTACATAATTAAAATACTCCCCATCACTAATTTTGTCAGCCCAGGACAAAAGTTTCCTTACTTTTACAAATCTAGATTTGGAGGCAGTGTAAATATCCACATAAATCCTTTCCCATAAGATAATGGACACACATTATCTGATTGACTGAATGTCTGATGAGCTAGAAATTAATTAATCATTAGTAATTTATTACTTTTTTAAAATTGAAAATAATTACTTGCAGCCATAAAAGTAATAAATATGAAATGAACAATTTCAGGGATACACAATACAAAAGTTTGCACTGCTGTCTTGCAGCCTGGGTGTAAGAATATTCTCATTTATGTGATGAGATTTCTCATGTCCAAAAACATGACTGCTATATTAATTTGTCCTTATCATTAACTGTGCATGGTTGTTTTGTACTTGGGGCCCCAAACATGTTTTGCCTAAGGCCCCAAATAATGTGTAGCCTGCTCTGTTCGACCAACAAAATTGCATGTAATTATAAGTTTCACAATGTTTAGATATTAAAATACCACTGATTTACAGAAGGACGCAACAACTTCATGCTAACTTATCAGCCACCTATATGGAGAGAATGGACATTTGAGGTCCTCCAAGGAGTTGGCTTGAATCGTCGATGCTAACATGCTAGGTCAACAGTAACCCGCAAAACCGGGGACTAACAGACGTTACGATACAATAACTGATAACTGGGCATTCACAATACTCACGTTTGCCTATTCAGACCATCTTCTCTTACACTGAAAGGTAAAGAAATGTTGATCTGTTTTCACGTGGACATTGGCGGAAGAGCTACATTCAAACGTCACATTCCGGAATGTTCCACAGCGGTGTGTTCCGACGACTGAGCGATAAAGTAATTTTTTTTTTAACAAAATGTGGTTGAAAATTTGTCAGGTAATACTTTACAAGTCGATTAAGGCAAAATTCTATCTCCTAATATGTTTTGTTCTTATTAGTAGCTATCCTCGTCACCGTCTGTACACCCCTGCATTTTACGGAAGTGGTTTCGTCCGCCCACATGGGTCCTGACCGAGTGCTGAGGAGTTTCTTTCCCAAATTCAGTTCTTCAGCTTTCGGTCTTAATTCTTAAAACTACATCGACATAAACAACTGATGAAGGCCGAGGACAGTGACATGGCAACCACAGAAGCTCCCCCTCCATCGAACAGTGAAGAATCTAAGCTACATTTCAGAAAGATAAATGAGCAACAAGTGGATGATATCTGCCTTCACTTCTTCTACAAACCACACACCATCACCCTTCTGGCAGCTACCTTGCTCGGTCTGATGTACTTCGCCTTCACCAGGCAAACGGCATTTATTTTTGCTGTTAAAAGTTGTTTTTTTTGTCGACCTTTTTTGTTGTTGTTGTTGTTGTTGTTAATGGGTGAAACTTGATTTTGACAGGGAAGATGAAAACCAAGACGGCAACATCCGTGTTGGTGTGTTATTGGTTGTTGTTTTCTTCATGGTCATCAGCATACTGACTTTTCCGAATGGTAAGCTACATTTCAAGTGGCATTCAATGTAAGTCAACTATTTGGTGCTTTGGTCTTAAACTTTAACGCTTGAACCATCTGGAATTTTCTGTCATTTTTGCTTCCAAGGAGACAGGCTTTCTTGAAGCCTGTTAAAGCGGTTTCATCAGAAACCTGCTAAAACTTGTGTGTCTAAAACTGAGAAAGACCCAGGAGATTTTGTGGCACTTTTCAGATTAATTAATTTTTGAAAATCGATCTGTCATTACCGTCTGATGTCAGATTCATATATATCTTTAGTAATTGAGAATGAAACTTAATTCTGAAAAAAAATATTAACTATTGTTAAATGAAACAATAATTTTATTTACATTAAAAAAAACAGGTCAGGTTACAGATGCTGTTTTTCAGTGACCTGCTGCCAAGAGCAACACTGGATTTTCAAGCTTTACATTGTTTAAACTCCTGACTTTTATCTGATGTGTCTGTATATGGCTACTATGGTTACTCATGACTCAAGACTTTCAATGACTTCTTTTGAATCTGTCATGTAATGCTTATTTCTTTAGATGTACACTTCAGACAATTATATCTTATTGAGACGTTGTAAAGTACATATAGAATGTAATAGAAATATTTTTTGTTTGTTTACCTGTCTGCTATAGACAAAGTATCAGAAATGTCAGTAATGGGGAGAAAAAGTGAAATGCTATTTTAAAATATAACAGATTTTTGTGTTTAATTTACTACTGTTTGATCAAATAGAGGATTTTTTTAAACGTTTATGGCCAAAAAGACTATAATTTTCATAATTTAGGACCTGATTTGTGCATTTTGTGTTAAACCATTATTATTTACAGCACCTGTGATATCTGTCTCATAAAAAGCACACTTAATGAAGTAACTGGTGTTCTTGTTGCTAGGACCCTTCAGAAGACCTCATCCTGCAATATGGAGAATGGTTTTTGGTGAGTCAGAATTTTTTCATCAGATACAAATCATTTTTGCCTTAATTCTCACCAGATTCTCTTGTCTTTGATAGGTCTCAGTGTGCTCTACTTCCTGTTTCTTGTCTTTATCATCTTCCTCAATTGGAAACAAGTGAAGAGTCTGATGTACTGGCTGGATCCAAATCTGCGTTCTGCCAAACGGGAAGTTGACATAATGGTAAGGATAGCTTACAACACCAACTTTTACATATGAACAACCGGAGCAAAGAGAAGAACTATACCTCTTCCTTTTAGCTCTTTTTCAGGGAATTTACTTTGCCCATTCTTTAGACGTCTGTCTAAAAAAAAAAGTGCACCAAATCTATCATATCTCATACTATGATTGAGTGAGATATAAGTAAAAACCTTTTCAACTGGATATAGAACTACAGGACACTTCTGCACAATAAAGTTGTTTTTACGTTTAATAAAAATGTATTCAGATTAGTTTTGTCATGTTATCACTACATGAGGAGGCATTTCTGATCATTATAATGTTTAAAAAAAAAAGAATACATGCAAAAGATTCTGATAAAATTACAAAAAGGACAAACAAATAGATATTTCAGGATAATTAAATAAAATATTTCTCAATGAAGGATGTAGGAGAGGGATTTGGTCAGTACCTATTTACTACATTCTGTTTGTTCTCCTTTAGGAATATGCTACAAACTGCAGTGACATAACATGGAACCGCATCGTGAACCACTTGGACATCTTTGCATTCGCCCACTTCACAGGCTGGGCCTTGAAGGCCCTGCTGATCCGCAGCTATGGCCTCTGCTGGACAATAAGCATCACCTGGGAACTCACTGAGGTGACCTACATGAGATGGCAACAACTGGCTTCATCTTGAGTTATTTGACCATGAATGTGCTTTGTATCCACATAGATGTTAAGTGCATATGAATATATGTTGTTTCTGATCAGAACATCACTTTAAAAAATTACTTAATCCTGATAAACGTATGAAAAAGAATAAGTAAGTAAATACCTTATTGCAGAAGTGTGATCGTACACTGGAAATTTGAGAAACAAATTAAACTTTAATTTGATTGTTCATTTAGTAAGCAGCATTTTAAGTTAATAAATATTTGTTTTTGTCAAGGTCACACTTAGCAGCCAAGCTGTTACCATAAATTTAAAGCCTCCTTTTAGATGTTAGGGCAGCCCTTTGTCTTTTCCCACTAGATTTCACAAAGCTGGAGCACACAGAGGGAGAGATATTCAACCATTATTACTGGCACAATTTCTCTAGATTGTCCAAAGTCCAGCATCCCTTCTCCTTTTCAGCTTAACATAATTTTTCTTTATTCTGTTGGTATTTTACTGAAATAAAGTTTGCAGAGAAAGAGGTCCTCTGTCTTACTTAAGAGTGTGCATCATCAGCTTTTTAATTCATCCTTTGTTTAACTTGGACTTTTTTCAGTTAAAATTTCCAGTAGAGTTTTACTCCACATGTTAAATTCCATCTTCATCACTGTACATGGCTTTTGCATGATTCTGCAACCATATTTATAGTTGTTTTAAACTTTCAAATTATCAAGACACATGCATACGCAGATGGATAGATGGATAAAGTTTTAACAATGTCTTGAAGCTTTTGTATACTCACTCTGCTCTCTGTCACTTTTCGCAGCTCTTCTTCATGCACCTTCTGCCAAACTTTGCAGAGTGCTGGTGGGATCAGTTGATTCTGGATATCTTATTGTGTAATGGAGGAGGAATCTGGCTGGGGATGACAGTCTGTCGCTACCTGGAGATGAGGATCTATCGCTGGGGCAGCATCAAGTCAGTATTCATTTTATTTTTTCATATTATACAGTATATTAAGAGTAGATAGAGAATAGCTTAAAACATTTATATCCAAAGAGTGACCTGGGCTCCTTTGGCTTAAAGAATCTTAATGTAACTCTTGATGCATGAAAAGTTCCTAAGCGCTTGGAAATGTAATCATATTTTGACTACCATTTATATTTCTGACTAAAAACATCTGCTAGTATCTTCCTAAAGTACATTTGGGGATATTTTAAATTAATGGGACTTGTTTTAAGCACCTTCAAGATGTGAGTTATTATTACTATTGTCTTGTTTTTGTTCAGAAAAATCCACTCCACCACGGGGAAGATAAAGCGAGCTGTGCTTCAGTTTACACCGGAAAGATGGACCTATGTGCGCTGGTTTGATCCAAATTCCTCTTTCCAGAGACTGGCAGGAATCTACCTCTTTATGATCGTATGGCAGGTTTGTCTCCCTTTTGTTTTCTGACAAAAACACCTGTAATGGAGTTAAAGTCTTCGATATCTGAGCTTATAGTAAATTTCTAAGTGATTTCCTGAGAACTCTTATTTACAATAATTCTTTCTTTTATTTCTGTTTGCAGCTGGCAGAGCTGAACACGTTTTTCCTGAAGCACATCTTCGTCTTCCAGGTCTCTCACCCTCTTAGCTGGTGTCGTATCCTGCTAATTGCAGCTATCACTGCACCCACTGTGCGGTACGTTTAATCTACATAATAACTTTAGTACTGTGTGAAAAGGAGTGATGAATGATTGAAGATAATCTATTTTGTGGTTAATCAAAAAAGTGCAAAGCTTGTTTGGGTGTGGAATAAATCTACACTGCCGAAATAGCTCATGGATGTATGTTTTTGTGGTTTTTCATTTTTCTTCTTGTTTTGGATTTTTTACGACTGTTTATGTTAATATAAGTCATGCTTTTGTTAATTTACAAATGTCCTGCTCATCATTTCATAGGCAGTATTATGCATACCTGACAGACACTCGGTGTCAGCGGGTTGGTACACAGTGCTGGGTGTTTGGGTAAGTTTCTTTTTCATGTCAGCTTTTTATTAATTTCCCTTGTGATCAAGTTATTTTTTTTTTTCTCCAAATTAAATCATTTTCTGACGCTGACCGTTCCATGCATATTGGGATCAACTCCACCCTAAAGTACAAGACAGAAATTAATTTATGTTGTTGTGGCATGATCTTACACAACATTTGAATTAAGTTGAGGGATATTTTGTTGTTGTTCTAAACAAAAACACAATTATTTAAAATGAATATAAAATAATGGCAACTTAAACATGTTTTTAATTCAGTCCCTTTTTTATAGTTGATCAAAACATTTTAAAATTTGCTATTAAAGACTTCCTGGTTTCCTGTCATGATACAAAGGCCTCTTATTCACTCCTTAAAAATGGGAATAACAAGGGACCATCCTATTAAAGTAAATCAGATGTGTGATCTTTACAAGTCTGGGAATGACTGTGAGAAAATTACTACTAGCTACTACTGGTAATTTAGTTTAATTTGGCACAATCAAGTAATTATATGGTAGTTATTTTAAGACTTGTGTGTAGAATTTTTATTTTAATTTTTTTACGTTGGATATGTTAATAGGGGAATGTGCTTTTATCAAGCTTTGGTTTTGGTAATAGTCTTAAAGTAATAAAAATAGTAGAGGAACAGTGACTTATTACGAAAAAAATTCAGAAATTTAGCTGGCATATTTAAAACGATTTCACAAGACTTCTTCAGGTTTCTTTTTTTATTATTATTATTTTGCAGCTGAGAATTTCAACACAGGCTGTTCTCTGCTCAGTTAAAATTCATGACATTATGCCGTTATTGACCTCACCTTATGCCCTCATCATCCTGATGCTACAGCAACAGGATGAGGTCTCACCAGCAGGAAATGCTTAGCAATGCATTCCAGCTCAGAGCTGGAGGGGGCGGGAGAGCAACACAACAAACTGGTCTGTGGACTTTTACGACCACGGTTGAAGCGCTGTTGCAGTTGGAATATGTTGCCAAAAGAGGGAGTAATTGTTTCATGCAGTATAGTGTTTATATTCAAGAACACTATTTGTCTGATTGTATGTTGGTATATTTATTTATTTATTTATTTATTTTCTATGCAGGGCCATTACATTCCTGGAAGCTCTCCTTTGTGTGAAATTTGGTGTTGACTTGTTTTCCCATGCTGAAATTTTGTATGTGGTTCTCTGGTTGCTTTGCCTGGTAAGAATATATATTTATCTATGTGTGTATAGTTATGTTTAGTAGATCAGAAGATCCAGTCGTTAGAAATCTCCTTATTTTGAGGAGATCAGATTGAGATTAGGTCAAATGGGATGCAGTAAATTTGTAGAAGGTTAGAAGTGTGTCCCAGTGGAAACCACTGATGTCTGAAGATTAGACTTTTCTTTGTTGCATTTGATGTTTCATGTTAAGTGATTAGCAGAAATATTCCACCTAAGTTTTTTCACATTTGGTCACAGTACAACCAAAAAGTTTGATATGTTTTAATTAGATTTTACATGACGGATCAACACAGTGTAGTGCATAATTTTGAGCAGGAATGAAAAACGGATGCCTATGTTTTTTCTTTTGTTTGTTTTGTTTCTGTTTTTTTTATTTTACAAATTAAATGCTGAACATATAAATACTTTAATAAAATTTATTCTGACTGACCTTTTTATTTTCATTTTTTTCAGGCACTTATCACACTCCTGTGTCTGTATGGCATGGTTTGGTTTGAAAGAAATAAGCTAAAGGTAAGATGTGGCCTTTTACGACTTTCCCTGATTATAACTCCCTAGACACACTGCAGTAGCTTTAATTTGATGATCATGTTAGATTATTACAATTTTTAACTTTCTTGGTTATGGTGATTATTTTTAGATGTCTTAATGACCTGTGAGATTGTAGTTTTGTTTTTCAATATGTAAAGATACTGGTTAAAGTTTTTGTGTTTTTATTAGAAATTTTTTTACTGTTTGTGTGTTTAATGTTGAAAAGTGGCCTTGGGTGTTATGAAAGACGCTGACAAATTAAATGCATTATTATTACTATTATTAAGTTTTCATTCATTTGAATCAAAAAGCCACCATGTCACTGAATTTGTTTTTGTTACCAGAGCACTTTTGTACAAGATGAGGACAGAGGTTCCTTGTGCCATGATGAAAACACAGGTCAGGAGGGACACCGCACAGAGGGGAAAAGTTAGAACAATTCCAAGGCCCCTGACCAACAGGGGGCCCGCCACAATTTGAAAAAATTGTTCACAGAAATGAAATAAATTTACCTGTCAATTACAAAATTAATCATATTGTGTTTTCTAAAATTGTTTATATCAGTAAAAACTTAAAGTTACAACTCCCAGACCAAAAACACACATCCATATTTGCACTGAACCCCCCTGGATCTGCATGAAATGATTCGTTCCTGCTTAGCGGGCTTGACGGTGACGGTGTTCAGCAGCAGTCGGTAGAAGACGAGAACGACTGTGGCGGTTACTGTCGCTTTATGTGTACTTTGCACGTTGCCTTTGACTGTTGCTGGTAGGGAGAGACCTTTCAGTAGTAGAAAAAATGTAAGCAACCTACTGTATGTGAACTGTTGTAGGTAAAATTTGTGAACAGTAAATATTGTCCTTGTGTCAGTATTGGACCATAGAAAGCAAGGCAGTTGCAAGCCTTTAAAATTATAATGCTTTTTGTGGGTCAAACAGACTCAAAAAATTGTAATAGCAGCTTTGCTGGGGGGCCCAATCTAGTTATTTGTCATGGGTCCCAAGATTCCTGGCTGCGCCACTGCAGGTCAGTCCCATAACGTTGCTTTTTACAGAATTTGTCTGTAAAATTTTTATTATTGCTGTGGGTATTTTTTTCTCTCTGCAGATCAGAAAGATTCATTGGGACTTTCGCACCTAGCAAGACGGAGGAAGTGTATTGCTAGGGACAGCAGTGTGAGCAGCGACGAGGAAACAACGAACAAGCATTAAAATATTCTTTTTTTAATTTTTTTTTATTGGATGCCAAATTGAATTGACATTTACTTTTGTATCACTGGTTTTATAAGTCGCTGAAAACCAAAAAGCTGTAGTAAAGATGCCATTCAAAGACTCAGTTAAATATTCTAATATGTTTGAGAGCCAGAAACAAAATGTTTGTGGACCTGCATGATTAAAGTTTGGGATGCTAAATATATGAACCAAAAAAAAGAGGCTCCGGTGGACTGTTCTACCGTCAGCATGCATCTTAAATTTTTTGCACTCCGGTCTAGTTTGCATTTTATATGTTTAACATTTTGTAAGATATTAAAATTAGTCAAGTAGATTATTCTAGTGAATTGTTTTTTCTTTGCCAAACTGAATTTTGCACTTGTATTTGAGACAGTTGATCAGGTTTTTAAGCAATTTTCTTCAATATAAGCTGCACTTTAAAGTTTTTGTTTACTCACTACAGGTCAGACTAAGCTACTTTTACTAAACAAATAAGCTCAGTGTGTTTTATTGTGACTAATGCTGTCCAATTTGTCAAAATGTGGTATCTTTGACATCTAAAAGAGCATCAGAATGTAACAGCTTGAATGGAAAAATGTATGTTGTTTATAACAAAAGGCAGTACTTGAGTTGTTAACGTTGTTAGTTTTTCATGTTGTAAATTGCATTTACTGCACAAAATGTCCAAAGCACTGAGGGACCTGAGTCCCTTAAAAACTTATGTCTTACTACTGTGAAATAACACTTTATGTAATAAAAATTATATTGTTTGATGCATTGTAAACATGATGCACCATGAGGTGATGTGAATGTTTCTATTCTGCTTTTTCAATTTAATGAGTTTAATGATCACGTGGAAAAAAAAATCTGTTTGTGAATCATAAAAATGTGGATCATGTATTGTGTTTTTTTTTTTTTTTTTTTTTTTTACATTAAAGGATGTTCAGTTCATGCTTAGCTCTGCAGCATGAAATATCTGGCATTATCTTCAGTCAGATTCATATGAACTGCTGGCTTTATTATTTTGAAATTTAGACAAGACTGCAGTACACTTGCACATTTGCATATTTTACCATAAATTTGGCATCAATTGCAGCATTTGTTTGTTCAAGCCACATTCATGCTATGGCAGTGAATAGACAGAAAATTGTCGTTCACATAAAACTGCACAACGGCCAGCCAGAACCGAGCATTTAATCATTTTTGGATTTTGAGATTCACAATTGGTCTCAGTATTAAGGGAAAAAAAATGACAAGCACTGTATAAAAAGAAATGTTAAAATGTACTAAGCTTAATGACTACTAATGTGTTTTTTTTAACTAAGCAGATAAAACTAACTGTAGTCCATAAGATTTTGATTTAATTTAAAATCAGAGTAAGAAAAACCGGGTCCATTTTTGGAACATCACATTGCTTACAAATTCTGCACTTAATTTAGGCCTGGACTTTAACCAGGTTGTTTTAAAGTATTGAACATTATAGGTCTCGCTGTAAGTTTAGTTTCATTAGCCTTGGAAGGTTGAAGCCCCAATCTCAAGTCTGCTGCAAACTTTAACACGTTTTCTTCCAGGTTTGTCCAATGTTTAGCTCCATTGGGAGATAAGCAGCAGCTAACTGGCCACTCTGCAAGAATGAGCGGGTTTGGATAATGGATGGGTGGATGGATTCTTCCCATAACGTTAACATGCTGCTGAATAAATAACAGAGAAGATGTCAAGCTATTAAACTTTTTTAATGATTTCACTTTTTATTGCATTCATCTGTTTGTAGCTGTTATCAAAAACTATCAAAGTGAACACTTGACTGACATTTAAACAATTTTAAAATTTTGTTAAATGAGGTCAGATTCTAACTATTCACTTCATGATTTGTGGATGTGCTTCTGAATTGTTCAGAAGCACAATTTTTACTTTACAAATAAAGTAAAAAACATTTTTTTTTACTTCATTTGAATTGTATTAATATGAAGTATTGCTACTAGCGTAAAATTTCTGGAGTTTCTACCCATTGAGAGTAACTTTACTCAATTAAGGACAAACATTTTGACCAAAATGCTTGAGACACATTCACACACCGATCTCTTGTTTGTTCACACAGATAGTTCAAATATTTTCTTTGCAGAGCCTGTTGTGCAGGTTGGAGGTCAAGTAAAACATGCAGAAAAAAGTATTATCACTGGACGTATCTTACACTCTTCTAACATACAAACTCTAACAGAAATTTTATTTTGAAAAGAAAAAAATATTTTATTTGCTTCCATTATCAGGTTTAATTATTTTCCATTCCAGTATTTAAAACACCAAAACTTGCAGATAAGTATATATTTTTTGTCTATCTGATGACATAATTATAAAATATTAAACCAGCTGTATCGATCATTTTGCTCTCAGACAGCCTTTTTAGAGAATACCTTTTTATTCCTACTTGAATAAAAATATTTTGTAGTGCTACTCCTACTGGAGTACATTTTAATGTACTCTACTCACCTCTGGTTAACCCAGTTGTGGGGTCGCAAATATGGAAATCCTTTGTTAGGTAAAGGCACTTCATTTCCCACAATTCCCCTGCAGGTGGCCACTGTCCTGGATGACAGCTATCCGGCGCCGAAACATCGATAGACAGTCAGACGAAAGAGCCATGGCGGCCACGGGTGGAGGGAAAATCAGAAGCAGGAGATATCACATCGCTTCTAAACCTTACGCCAAGAGTAAACAGGTAAATTAAATAAAAGTACTCAAGTAAGAAGCCCATGTGAAGTACGTCGCAGTGATCGCGTTGCCACCGTTCTTCGGGTTGTGTTATTGTTTTCTTGGAGACATTTTATGGCCTGCTGTTAGCGCTCATGGCCTCCACGCGCTGCTAGCACGTTTGCGAAATGCTAACGAACTAGCTTGAGGTTAGCAGCAGCAGGCGCTGACAGGTCAAACCACGGGACTGTGTCGCTTAGACAAGTTAAACATTACATTTGTTAGTTTTACTAATAAACATCACACACGACAAGTCGAGGGAAATTACCCCGACTGGGTGTTTAAGTTTACAGTTGTTTACGAAGTTTGGATAAAGCAAGGAAGTGGAATTTAAAGTATTAGCCTTTACAGCTAACTTGAGTTAGCACCTATGAACGCCGCATTGTTGTATTTGGTTCTTCTTAATGTAGCAGGAACAACTGGTAAAACTGTGTAGCTGGCCATAATACCTACATGTGACCAGGCGCAATGATTTTCAATACATATGCTGTGTACAAAGAGTGCCAAAAATATTTCCGACATTAGCATCTGCTAGCCAAACCTCAGCCAGTTTAATTGCGCAGAGAAAGCTCTGGCTGATTGGGGACCCACATGTTTGTCTCCCGGATCAATTGGCGCCCAGACACCGCAGTCATTTCGCGTGCACTTCGTGATTTTGGCCGTTGAAACTGCATTATATACCCATTTCATAAAGGAAGAAAATGTCCAAATGATTTGCTGGGTTGTCGGTTCGAAAACCCTGCGCTGTCTTACGAATATTGGACAACCTGCTTTGATCATCAAGCTCGATGTGGCGTTACAATAGTCCACTAAATATGTCGCTGTTGTAACTCGTTAAAGAATATGCACATAAGTCAGTAGTCGGCTTTTCATTAAGTGTCAACAATCTAAACATATTTCAGAGTTGTCAAAACGTTTGACATCTCTTGAAATTTGATTAGAAGAATATTATCGGCATCTGTAATAACATTTTAACAGATTAAATTCTGAATAATCTGAAAGATTGAAATGAATGAAAAGAGGTGACCAAAATACTTAATTAAAAATAAAATGTATTTTCCAGTGAAAACCCCGCCCCCCCAAAAAACATACATAAATGACATTTGATTTGTTGCTGTAGAAATTACTGTCATCAAAAGATTCTGCTTTGAAACCAAAACACATCATGCACTTCACTTCAGATGAAATCTGGTATACAGGCACTTTAAAGCATAAACTAAATCATTTGGATGATCAAAAATATTTTCATCTTTTGGTAACTCAAGCATTTTTTTGTCCCTGTAAATCTTAAACAAAACTTTTTTTTTCATCACTAGGAATAAAAAAACAAAACAATGACAAATTAAATTCTGAGCATTTACAGAGTGATAAAATATCCTGTAATTGGACATCATCATACATTTACATAAATAAAAAGCTTGTCAGTCTCAAGTTATGAAACAGTAATTTTAATGGTAGTTGGCAATAAACAGATGTGGAAATATTAAAAGATAGTGAATTCTTTCAGAGTAAGAGTAAGATTAATTTAATTTTATAAAACAATTGTGCTGGACTGTAAAAAAAAGAAAAATTGAACCTCCTTCACGCTGTAACGTAATCTAGATAAGAGTGTTAATGCCATTGTGTGTGTGTGTGTGTGTGTGTGTGTGCTCACCGGTCAAGTTTTTTTGATCAGAAATTATCAGTCAGACCTGATCAAACTGAAACTCTACAGCTGATATCTGAAAATTGAAATGTGTGAAAAGCTTAGTTTGCGTCGTCAGGAGTTTTCAGTTCTGTCTGTCGGATCATATTTCTGTATTAACAAACTTCTCTCACTGTCCTGCTTTTAATTCATCACTATTTTTTGTTTTTGTTTGTTTTTTACTGATTCTGTTACCAGGTAGTAACGACGTTACCTGCTCTTATTTACTCTTCTTTTTACTCACTATGTTTAACAGGTTTTTGGTTTCTCGAATAAAGTTTGCATGTTTGAAGTGTGTCTAAAATTAAGCATGAGGTATTGAACTTGAAAATGTACTTAAGTGCATAAAATATTTGCATCAAGAGAAAGCTGAAATTATAAAATTGTCGTTGAGATGTAGGCCTGTCACGATAACATTTTGCTGGACGATAAATAATAACAAACAAAGATCAATAAACTTTTAAATTGTAATGGACATTTAAACACTGGAACTGAACGACATCTGGAATATCTAAAATAAATAAAGAAAACAACAAATAAAATGAAGTATGAAGTCTCTGAATACAAAATTATCTTTCAAAAAAGGAGAAGATAATTTAGAGAATACTTTTTTATTCCTACTTGAATAAAAATATGTTGTAGTGCTACTCCTACTGGAGTAAGTTTTTATGTACTCTACTCACCTCTGGTTAATCCAGAGGTGAGACTAAAACACCAGATTAAAGACTTTTATTATTTAGTTTTGGTAAAGAGAGAGAAATAAGAAAAAAATGGTAAATCAAATAAATTAAGTTTATTGAGTTTCTTTTTAATTTGTTATCGATTCATTGATTTATTGTGACAAGCTTGTTGAGACATCCTAAATTGTTGTTCAAATTCCGAATGGCATCATCTTTGATAGAATCATGACATTTTTGTTTGAACATGAGATTATATGGCCGCATAAGTGATTATTCACAAAACATTTATTAAAAAATGGGGACGCAGCAATATTGAAATTCAATAGTAACATTGTTGCCACAAAGCGATATTTACCAATAGTACACATACATTTCCCTGCCCGCTGTGAAAAGCATCCCATTATCCTGGGCTGCATCACTATCACATGTCAAAGTAAATGTCACATGACCAATCCCCGTCCTAAAGCACAAAAATAGCAACAAGATAGAAATAAATATTGGACAGTAGCAATATAAATATGGCGCCTCTCTATATAAAACCCTTATCTTTAGGGTTAATTTTCAGGAAGGTCCAGGATGTTTATAACAACCATTTTAAGCGTTTGGGGACTTAAATCATTGCTATATTTCAAACTAGTCGCACATGTCCAGTTAAAGATGTGTGGTTTTCATCATGTGGAAAGTTCAGAGCCCACAGGTGTACATCATAGATAAGCCTGGAGGAAGAGCCTCATGTGGGGTTTATCAAGTGCTAAAACTTTCTATGTGTGTAAT